TCCAACCAGTTACATCCATTCTATCTTACTAATTGGGGTAGCGTTTCTGGATCGGAAGTGCGAGCTATCCCACCAGTTGTAAAGGTATTCTACTTGATGACTGCTTCAAGCTTAGGCACGACATACAGAATTAATAGGCACCAGTGGGAAGGATTTACCAAACCTTTTGAGCGCAATAAGGCCAAGCTGAAAAATCCCTTACCACAATACCAAATATAAATTATACCACCTCATAAACCCTTCAGGCAGGTGATCGGATTAATGGCAAAATTGGATAGTGCGTTATTGCGGAAGAATGGTATTGGCAGAGGCTGAATGGGTAGGAGAAATGTTGTTGCCATTGCTTGGACATCTGGGATGCTCCCAATTGTCCTAAAACTTAGCACCTGATGAGGAGGTTAGAACAATGGTAATATATGTGAAGGGATGAATAAAGAAAGAAGTCAGGTCCACAGACTTACTCATACGTGGGAGATGTACGAATAAAAATGAAGATGGAGTCTAAATTTAGCTTTGCAATCTAAAGAGGATATCTCTGATTCAAGCAGACCAAATGCTATATATAAACGATTTATTTTTACTCGAATTTTATTAGTAGTATATTGTAATAAAATGAACGTTGGGCATCCAGAGCTTGAACCCGAAAGCGGTCGTGTGTATAACGCCGGACAAACAATCAGCCCAGGGCCAAAGGAAAATGCAGCTTATTCATCGGATGGAATAGGGAAGAAAACATCCAGATAAGGGTGGAGAAACAGCCCAAAGGAGAAGGAAGAACGAATGATGAAGTAGAGAAGCAGCGAAAAGAAGGCTACTAAAAGTGGGTGAAAAGTTAGTCAAAAACAGCAGACCAAAGCGGGTGATTATATGACCAGAGTTAGAACTGTTATAACAGCAAATGTATCAAGTACTGAGTCAGCTGTAGAGGACAAGGCTGACATCTTCCACTATGGATTTTTGATAGCTTCAAAAAGAACAAAATAAGGGGAGGGGGAGTCGAGAAACCCCATGGCGCAAATTTATATTTTTCAAGCCATTACGTTGTGTTTTAGAGTCTCCTTGGAAGAATCAAGAGCATGGATTGATTAATGTGCTGCAACGCAGGATTGGTGAAGATAACCTTCTTTTCAATTTCGAATCTTCCTCCGGTATTATATGGTGAAGAGAAACCTCTATCGGTCTCAAAGACCTTCAATGTACATTCAGGGTTGTGTTTAATGGGACGAGAAACCCGCAATGTGATGGTTGATAACGGGTCGGCATTGTGTGTATGGCCCACTGAAAAATATTGTCCGAAATTCTAAGATCGAAGATCGGAACTCGAAAGGTAGCTTCAAAATCTAACATGGTTGCCTTTAAAAGACTAGATGATAACACCTATCTCAACATCATGAAACGTACGGACTGACTAGAGGAACCTTCAAGGCCAAAGGATTCGACAGGACTGATTAGAAAGTGGCGTGGAACTAGTAGTCTTGGACAGTTCTTGGGCCAAGTGTATGACTCTTGACTATTGGGAAGGCCATGGCTCCATCCTTTGGGTGTGATTCCACATTGCACAGAAAAGTCAAGGTACCTTGGGGCACTGATGTGGTAACTATTAATGCACAAGAAGATCTGAATGTGGCGGTTGTGGAAGGTTTAGAGCCAGCTGTGCCTTTATCTGGTTTTCAGGTGGCTGTGATTGATGATGTTGTAATCACCGAAGACAAAAGTACAGTCAACAAGATGAGCCCTTTCTCTCGTAAAATGATGAAGAGGATGCAATGGAAATATGGTAAGGGGCTAGGCTGAGATTTACAAGGAAGATTTGAACCTGTGCCATCATCACATGGTCAGCAGGATCGACGCGGACTGGGGTACTAAGAGAATAGAAAGAAAGAGAAGTACAAAGTCCAGTCTCCGATAAAAGAGCCGGGACTGAATAAGATCTTCTTTATCCCAGAGGCTTCCGGGGAATTTCAAAGCAGAGGAAAGACATATCCCGAAGCAAGAGGAAAGACATATCCGAATTTTGGAGATGCTTATGGACAGATTTGAGGAGCATGCTGCATTAGAGGTCTCCAGAGCCTTTCTTTGAGCAGTACTGGTAGAGTGCCTGGGCACAGGAGCCAGTATTCATGATTAGGTCATGGTTTTCGACTGTGGACAGTGGGTACACACAGAATGGTCCCAGGCACCAGATGAGGCTGTACAAGATTTAAGACTTTCCTCCGGGATTGGGGACGAAAGCTTCCAAGATTGGTGCATGAGGGTATGAGAACAGATATGGTCAAGACAGGAAGGATCCCGCTGATTTTAGTTCAAATAACTAGCGCAGCGGAGAGATGCAGGAGAAGCTGAAGAGGAAGGTGATGAAGATGTCCAGAGCTAAGGAGTAACAGAAAGAGAGAGATAGTTCGGCAGGTCTCTAGAAACAGTAGGGATGCTTGGATGCTGATGAAGTGGTTCAAGGCCATCAAGATAGATGTGTGATGTGTGAAAGCAGTTGCTATTAATGGCCTATCTTTTTGTTCTTAGTTGATCTTGTCAATCTAATTGAGAACGAGACTGTTGGGATGGGATTGCCCTTTATTTTTCTATTGTATGTCGACTGGTTTAGGGACGACAAGTGAACTTTGATTCTTGTTTTTCTTGTTTTCCCTAATTGTCAGCGTTCATCGGCGATGATTAATCATGCGCATATTTGACGATAAAATGCATTTTGCCCAATCATTGTTTGCATTTAACCTAAGCACTACCTGCAAGATTCCGAAAATAATTTGATCGGATCAGACCTGTTAAAGCCTATGAACTTAGACAGGATCTCCAAGAATGTATCAGAGGATTCAAAGAGGTCTTTCTGCTTGGAGCGTTTGCTTGGAGCTATGCCGATATGCCAGGGATCGACAGGTCAATTGCAGAACATTTCATTCCTACCGATCCGAACATTAAGCCAGTAAAGCAGAAGAGGAGATGGGTCAGACCAGACTGGCAAGATAAGATTAAGGCTGAGGTTCAGAAGCAGTTAGATGCAGGCTTCTTAGAGGTAGTGCATTACCCTGAGTGGTTAGCAAACATAGTCCCTGTACTTAAGAAGGATGGGAGACTCAGAGTCTGTGTCGACTACAGAGACTTAAACAAAGCCTCGCCCAAAGACGACATCCCACTTCCACATATAGATGTTCTGATCGACAGTGCTACAGGAATGGGATGTTATTCCATTGATCGACAGGTTGCTACAGGGAATGGGAGTTATTTCCATTAATGGACAGGATTTCTCTAGGTACACATCAAATCCTGATGGTTTAAGTTGACAACATAAGATGGCTTTACTACTGATTTCGGGACCTTCTGCTATATGGTGATGCCGTTTTTGGAATTTGAAGAATTGAGGCGTGGGGCAGACATATCAACGAATGGCCTACAGACGTGTTTCATGATAGTGATTCGGATAAAAGGTTTGAGGGAGGTATAGAACTGTGGATGATGATATGGTGGATTCATTGAAACAGTAAACCAACCATAGTATAAGAACAAATATGTGAGATGTGTGGTTAGGAAAAGTTTCTCGGCTGGACGTTGGATGGAGATGTTGGAAAAGTTCTTCGCACGGGTCAAGCAGTACAATTTAAGACTGAATCCCAAAAAGTGCGTATTTGGAGTCACGAAGGGGAAGTTGTTAGGTTTTGTTGTAGGACCTAATGGGATTGAGATTGACCCAGACAAAATAAAAGCCATTCAAGACATGGAATTGCCTAGAATAGAGCGTCAGGTAAGAAGCTTCTTGGGGAAGATCCAATATATCAGCAGGTTCATTTCTAGATTATCCATTACTTGCGCTCCGATCTTCAAGTTATCTTCAAGTTGCTTAGGAAGAACCAACCGGTCAGATGGAATGAGGATTGTCAGAAGGCCTTTGACCATATAAAGGAGTACTTGATGAATCCACCGATGTTAAGTTCTCCTAGACCGGGAGAACCTTTAATTCTGTATTTGTCTGTGGAAGACACAGGAGTTGGAGCTATGTTGGTACAGCCAGACGCTGCTGGAGTAGAAAAGGCCATTTCTTATATCAGCAAGAAATTACTGCCTATTGAGGAAAAGTATAATTTGATAGAAAAGACATGCATGGCAATTGTGTGGTCGATCAAGAAATTGAGGCCTTAGGCCTAACTTTGATTCATTCGCAGGATCACTTTTGTTTCTAAAATTGATCCTATGAAGTATCTTCAGAAGACACCTACTCTAGAAGGACGGTTTATACCAAATGGTTAATTCAGATGTCCACAGTGTAAGATACAGAATTTTGTCACAAGAAAAGAAGACGGTCAAAGGTCGGGTCGTAGCAGAATTCCTGGCTGAGAATCCCATTGCAGATGATGAACCATGGGAGCTGGAATTTCCAGATGAACATTTGCTATGAGTTGAAACAGGGGTCTGGAAACTGTACTTTGATGGGTCAGCCAATAGAAATGGAGCTGGAGCCGGTATTGTGATAGAAGCACCCAATGGCGAGGTGACAATAATGTGAAAAAGATTGTTGTTCCCAGTCACTAACAACATGGTAGAATAGGAAGCGTGTATCATGGGAATTGAGTCTCTTCTTGCATCAGGCACTAAGGAGGTTGAGGTGATAGGAGATTCACTATTGGTTATCGAACATGCTAATGAGAGATGGAAAGTTGAGGAAGAAAGGTTGAAGCCCCATGTTGAGTGAAGCCCATGTTGAGTACTTGTTGAAAGAAAGCAGCACTTTTGACAAGAATCACTTTTACTCACATAGGAAGAACTCATAGTAGAATCCCAGATGCATCTGGCAAAACCTAGCGTCAGCCATGGCAGGATTTGAGTAAAGTCCCCAAAGAAGCCATTTATCCATTACCCGCAGGCAAAATATCCCTATGCTGATGAAGAAAACATTTTTGTGAATCAGGTTGAGTCAGAGGAAGAACCTTGGTTTATCAGATATTCTGCGATAACATGAAAAGAGGAACCGGTTTACGGATATTTTGTAGTACATGAAAGATGGAACCTTTTCTGATGATGCAACAAAAGAAGACCGATCGGTTCTAAGGAAAATGGCTTTGAAGTATGTCCTAGTCGATGGTGAACTGTATTGGAAGGCCTGGAATGGAATGCTTCTAAGATGTGTAGGCATGAAGGAAGGAGAAGAGATAATGAAGAAGATCTATGATGGAGTCTTTGGTACTCATTTGAGTGGCATTAGTTTGGCCAGAAAGATTATGAGGCAAGGCTAATTTTGGGTGCAGATGGAAGGTGACTGTGTCAGCTATGTTCGTCATTGCAAAGCCTGTCAGTACCACGATAAGAAAAATCATTTGCCTGCTGTTGAGCTCCATCTAACAACTCCTTCTTGGCCTTTTTCAGCCTAGGGTATAGATGTTATTGGCAAGATCACGTCGGCAACATCAAATGGTCATCAGTATAACTTAGTCGCTGTGGACTACTTTTCCAGATGGATTGAAGCTCAGTCCTACAAAATCTTGACTGCCAAACAGGTGGCTAGATTTATTGAGCAGAACATTTTCTGTCGCTATAGTGTTTCTTATCACATAGTTACAGACAATGGTTCTCACTTCCAAGCAGTCGTCAGTCAGTTATTATACAGATATAAGGTTGAGCATCACCATTCTTCTCCTTATCAGCCTCAAGCTAACGATGCAGTGGAAGTCGCCAATAAGGAGATTAAGAGAATTCTGTCCAAAATGTGCGAGAAGTATAGAAGCTGGGCTGAGAAACTTTGTTGGCTCAAGGGTCGAATTCTAATCTCGGAATTTTGATGATTAAAACAAAACAAATAAATTTAAATTATATTATTTATGCTAATATTATTTTATGCAGAAATCTTATGGAAAGAAGAAGTCTCTCAGGGTTCTTGTGGAAGCTGCTCTGATCAAGGAAGAATGGGTCCAAGAAAAGGTATGAAGATCTGGCACTTTTAGATGGCAGAAGATTGAATGCCAAATTCCAGGATCAGATGAGAAAGAGAAGAATTGCTCGTTTCTACAATCAGCGGGAACATCCAAGGGCGTTGAAAAATGGAGATTTAGTGTTAGTCAGATTGTTAGACCATGAATCCCAGAGTCATCCAGGAGGGAAATTCAGACCCAACTGGCATGGACCGTTCAGAATTCAGAAACTATTAGCCAAAGGTGTCGCTGAATTGGTCACTATAGAAGGGAAGCCTTTTAATCGGATCGTTAATCAAGATTAGATGAAAAGTTTCTATGTCTGAAATGATGAGATGATTTCGATTAAAAAAAAAAAAAGAAGAGCCTAGGTCGAAAACCCGAAAGGGCGGCTTAGGCAAGAAATGAGCTCGCTAGGTCGAACACCCAAAAGGGCGGCCTAGGCAAAAGTTAGAGCATAATAAAAATAAAATAATGATAAAAAATAATAATGATTAACGTGTGGTGCTTAGTTTAAATGTGAAATCTATGCCATGCGTTTGTGACAGACTTGCGACTGGTTGCTCAATGCCATCAACCTTACTAGAAGGAGGATAGGCGAATGAGCAGTTAGAATGAACGACCATTGTATTAAAATAGTTTCTCTTTACTGGGATCAATAAAGAGTTTGAGTTTCAAATTTTTCTCTTTTGTTTCTGGGGTATGATTGATAATTACAAGACCTTCATCTCTGCTTATTTGATCAGAATTTGCTCATTTATTTTGAAGATGACTTGGTGTTTTCGCCCAAAATCCCCCTCGAGGACCCGAAAACATCCTTTTGAGGACCCGAAAACATCCTTTTGTGTTATTTTTGATGAAATATTTTTTATTTTGGATGCGGTGCCGATAAATCGGTCTTATAAACAATTTTGAGTCGCCACTCATTGTTTAGGCAATAGGACCGTTTTTATATAAAAATGACTCCATTTTAAACCCAATCTTGTTTAAGGCCAAATTAGTTTAAAAGACTAGTCAGGTGCACCAAATGCAATTCTAGGTAAGGGAATTGGGTACGTCGGCCCGTTAGAAGCTGATGCCCGGAAAACCGGCCTCCATTAACCTATGATTTCTAATTTATTTTAGTTAGAAAAGCAAATTATTTATTTATTTAAACCCAACCCAAATGAATCGGACTGAGTTCCTATATGGAAAATCATTTAATCGTCCCAATCAAATCTAATTATCATATAACAATTATTCAAATCAAAGCAATTAAACCAAATAAATAAAAGACCCGCTCTTGCCTTATCGTTCAAGGCGGGCGACAAACCGAAACCGAAGAATAAATCAAATAAATAAAAACCGCCGCCTTGCCTTATGGTTTTCAAGGCGGGTTTAACAAATCGGATCCAAAAAATATATATAAAATCGAATCAAAATTAAAATCTATAAACCAATAAAATAAAGCCATACATATTATTATTTAATATCTAAATCACATTTTAATTTTTTTTTTATTTTTATTTAATTTCATTTTTGCATTTCAACAAAAAATAACAAAATTATACAAATAAATATATATAATAACGTTTTTAATATTTTTAAGACTCAAATTACACTCCTATATCTGTTTCTAGTTTGGCATTCCATAGATTTATTGAAGAAATTAGATTTTTATTTTAAATGGCAAAATTTATATTTTTATTTTTTTTATCATTATAAATTGAAGAACAGTTACTGTTCATCGATGAACAAACAGTTACTGTTCATCGATTATTTCTGGGAAAATTTGAAGAACAGTTACTGTTCGATGAATAAACAATTACTGTTCATCGATTATTTCTAGGAAAATTGAAGAACAGTTACTGTTCGATGAACAAACAGTTACTGTTCATCGATTATTCCTGGGAAAATTAAGGAACAGTTACTGTTCATCGATGAACAGATGCGTGATTTTTGCCCAGAATAGCAAACGAATCACTCCCTTGGAATGCCTCTTTCGAGATTGGAGACTTCTGAAATATCAGCGAACATTTTTAAGTATTTTTTACATCATTTCTTGTTTAATTTTCAAGTAATTTATTTACATTATTTCTTATTTAAATGTGATTTAAGGACGTATAAAATGGCCAAATATGAACAGAATACAATTTAAAGAAGCTTAAATTATTAAAACCACAAAAATATGTAAAAAACACAAAAAATATGTAAAAAATACAAAAAATGTTAAAGAACTTACCTAATCCTCAGATTGAGGATTGTAAATGGATCAAATATCTCAATAAATGATGTTTAAGATCTCCCAGAAGCTTTGTTTCCAAGGATTTAAGTGTGTTTTCTTTATCTTTTGTTATTTTCTCTCTTTTTATGGTTTGATTCATCTAAAATTGATATCTAATGCCAATTTCTCTTCAAATCAACTCATACGAATTTTTTGGAGAGAAATGTGGCAGAACAGTATATTTTTTAGGGTTTTTCCGTTTGTGGAGTTGTGAAGTTGTGTGAAAATTGTGAGAAAGAGATGTATTTATAGAGCTATTGGGTGACCCGACTGACAGTTGGGTGACACGACTGACCCAACCAAAAACTTAAAATTGGTTTGATTTATCCTTGGATTAAAAGACTTCTAGATGGCATTAACCCTTTCATTTCACATCCTCGTATCATCATTGGATCAGGCGAGGCATAAAAAACATGCGTCAACAGTTTGACCCCCCACTTTATCATTAATTGTATAAACGATTAATGTTAAAGTGGTCTACTGACGCGCCTTCAGTCTGGCAACCATCCTCGAAGCCCGGTTTGATCGGCTTGAAAGATGTTGGATTGAATTGATCATCTGGCCACCTACTCAGCTCGGAGCTCGGTTGGAATTGGCTTTGAAGGATTTTGGTTTGACTTGAATCATCTGGGTCCACCTCCTTAGCTCAGTTGATCGACTTTGTCGGTCCCGTCAAATCTGTGAATCATCTCCAAAGCTCGATTCGATTTGATTGGCTTTGAAGACACCTCCGAAGCTCGGTTGGATTGGCTTGAAGGATTTTGGTTTGACTTGATCATCTGGTCACCTCCTTAGCTCAGATTGATCGGCTTTGTCGGCTCCCGTCGAATCTGTGATCATCTCCAAAGCTCGGTTTGATTGGCTTTGAAGACACCTCCTCAGCTCAGTTGGATTGGCTTTGAAGACACCTCCGAGGCTCAGTTTGATCGGCCTGAAGGATTTTGGCAAATTTGTGATCATCTCCAAAGCTCGATTTGATTGGCTTTGAAGACACCTCCTCAGCTCAGTTTGATCGGCTTTAGAGGATTTTATCGAATTTGTGATCATCTCCAAAGCTTGGTCAGCTCAGTTTTGATTCGGCTTTAGAGGATTTATCGAATTTTGTGATCATCTCCAAAGCTTGGTTTGATTGGCTTTGAAAGACACTTCCTCAGCTCAGTTTGATCGGCTTAGAGGATTTTTGTCGAAATTTGGTGATCATCTCCAAATGCTGGTTTTGATTGGCTTTTGAAAGACACCTCCTCAAGCTCAGTTTGATTGGCTTTAGAGGATTTTGTCGAAATTTGTGATCAATCTCACCAAAAGCTTCCGGTTTTGATTTGGCTTTTGAAGACACCCTCCTCAGCTCAGTTTAATCCGGCTTTAGAGGATTTTGGTTGAATCAATCTGGCCAGTTTCAAAGCTCGGTTTGATCGGCTTTGAAAAGGCTCTAGTTTGGATCGTCTCCAATAGCTCGGTTTGAATTGTCGGTTTGATTGGCTTTGAAGACACCTCCGAGGCTCGGTTTGATCGGCCTAAAGGCTCCAGTCGGACTACATCAGCGTTCTAAGCATCGGCAGTCCTCTGGCCACGTCCAGTAATTTCTGTGTATAAACAGATCAGCTTTGCAATACATGATTAGAGTTAAAATCCAAACAATTTTGAAATGTATCATCATTGTTTGGTGGGACCAAAGAACGATTTCTGTATATAAACAAATCTCGCCTTGTGGGTTCAAAGAGCAATTTCTGTGTACAAATAGATTTCGCTTGGTAAGACCGAAGAGCAATTTCTGTATACAAACAGATTTTGCTAAATTTCTGTATACAAACTGATTTTGATAAATTTCTGTATACAAACAGATCTTGGTGGGACCAAATAACGATTTCTATATATAAACAGATTTCGCTTTATGGGTCCAAAGAGCAATTTCTGTATACAAGTATACAAACAGATTTTGCTAAATTTCTGTGTACAAACAGATTTTGGTGGGACCAAATAGCGATTTCTGTATACAAACAGATTTCGCTTTGTGGGTCCAAAGAGCAATTTCTGTGTACAGATAGATTTCGCTTGGTAGGACCGAAGAGCAATTTCTGTATACAAACAGATTTTGCTAAATTTGTGTACAAACAGATTTTGGTGGGACCAAATAGCGATTTCTATATACAAACAGATTTCGCTTTAACAGATTTCGCTTTATGGGTCCAAAGAGCAATTTCTGTATACAAACAGATTTTGCTAAATTTCTGTATACAAACAGATCTTGGTGGGACCAAATAGTGATTTCTGTATACAAACAAATTTCGCTTTGTGGGTCCAAAGAGCAATTCTTGTATACAAACAAGTCTTGCTTGGTGCAATTTCTGTATACAAACAGATCTTGCTTGGTGCATTCTGTATACAAACAGATCTTGCTTTTGTTAAATGTTGGGGCGGTTTCGTGACACCATCACCTGTTGACCTGAAAACATTAACAGATCTTGCCTTTGTTAAATGTTGGAGTGTCACATGCCCCCATGCATCAACAATTGTAAATTTTGAAATTTGAAATTTTGCATCAAGGCAAAAGATTTTATTTTTGCCCCTAGTCTGGAATTTCGTCCCGAGACCAAAAATATTATCTTTTAAGCAAACCTTGAAAATTTTATTTTATTATTTTTTTTATCCATTGCAATTTTTTTCTTTTTTTTGGAATTTTTTTTAGCAAATTTTCAGGTACACCCTTCCTAATGCGGTGTTGAGAGAAAACTTACCTGAGGGTAATCTGGTAGATTTGATGATTTTGCCCCCTGTGTGACGAGCCGCACACTGACTCTAAATTGCCTAAGGGCTTTGATTTTTTTTTTTTGATTATTTTTGATTATTTTTTATTTTTATTTTATTTTATTTTAAATTTGCTTTGTTCTTGCACAAAGAAAACCAAACCATAGAGACAAAAAAGAGGCGTCCCACTCATTTGCAAGAATGGTCCACCTTGTTAATGCGGGCATAAATGCCCATCTACATTATTCCAAAATTGATTATTCCACATTATTCCAAAATTGACAAAAGACAATAAGA